ACGACCTACTACGTGAAAACCACCACGGGAGCTCAAGGGGTCCTTCAGGTTCACGACGTGCTGTCCTCAGCTTGGTCTTAGACCTCGTGGGCTTTGACAGTTGCAACTTCTTCAGAAGAATTAGTTTGCAGTCTTTCGGGCCTGTTTGTCATGCCTTGCATGAAGGTACCAGACGCCAAAGAGATTTCTTGCGGATACAAGCTGGTCTTCCGCACGGAAGAAATTTGGCCACTGCTCGGCAGGAGCCAAAGCTTCGCCAATTGGTACTGTAAATTGTAGCTTGCCTGAATGATACATTGAGTCGGTCTTGAAGCATTTGTGGCTTCTGTGTTGCTGCTGCAAGCAGATGCCCAGGAAAGACAATGTGACGCAACAGATCAGTGATGCCTGGAAGGTGGACTACACCCGCCACCTCTTCCGACCGACGCACTACAAGGGGTCCCGGCTCGAAGGAATGCCGACTCCTGTGAAGCTGAACTTCAATTCCATGACCTTCCCTGGTTTCTTTTTCACAGCCGCTTAGGCTGCAAGATTCAAACTGCCACGCGACTGAGTTACTGCATGCTTGCACAGTAGGCCACGTCTGCGACGAGGCAGCCTCCGTCCTGCAGATACGCTCCTGTCGCCCTGACCACCAAAGAGCAGTTCTGAAGGTTCTAGAACTCTTCGTGGGCCACTTTTGCCCGCCCGACTTGACTTTGCAGTTGCTGCCCTCCGTTGAAGCTAGTGCTCTGGCTGCTTGACGGTGATTCTTGTTTCTCTGGCAGTGTCGCAGGATGTGGTTCTTGCCTCGCTGCTGCAGGCAAGCTTTGCTTCCACGGGCACGACCTGGACTTGGAGCAGTGGTCTCGCACCCTAGAGTTATTCGGGTGGAAAACAAGGCCTGCTGCACCTTCGTCCGTTACTAGAGCTGAATTTTCGAAAGCTTGCAGGTGGGAAAAGTGCAGGATGCTGAGCCCACCCATGCAAAAATTGCAGACAGGCTCGGCTGCCACACAGCAGTCATAGGAACGCTTCGGCTTCCAGCTACCTGCTGATGAGGTGTCAAGGGAGCCGTGGCAGTGTGGTTCATTCTTCGCACACCTTTCGAGGACAGAGTTTGCGAGGACGGGCGGGCTGCTTCGTCAGTTCCAATCGCCTCTTGCAGCATCTGAGTGCAGGGCCGAGTCTTGACCCAGCGGCTTCAGAGAAGGCTGATTCATGGCATCTGCCAAGCAGCCGAACTTCACTCGACTGACAAGATGGCAGCTTCCCTTCCTGGGCCTGCACAAGACGATGATTTTCATCCTTTGAAAAAGCCACTCGGACGTTTTCCGTGGAACAGGTTTCTGTCGCATCCGTGAGGCTCTTCTCTGAACAGCTTAGTGCTTCAACACTAACTGAGGAGTGGAGACACACTGCGAAACGACATCAAGCCCAAACAGCAGTTTGCTCTTCAGCGCTTTCTTGGAAAGACCGGCGGATGGATGGGCTCCTCTCAAGACAGCACCTTGGAGGCTTTGGGCCTCGGGGAGATCCTAATTTCCCACCAACATCGGACTCTCGTCTGCAATGGGTTCTGCTCCCGGTCTTACATGAGCTTTGTCCTCTGTTTGGCAAGACATGACGGTTGAAGGCTGAGTTGCGATTTCCTTTTTCGCTACTGGCAGAAGTCATTCACCGTTCTCCAGGAGGCCCCCTGCATCGCAGTAGTCTGTCAGGGCCGTCATGAGTCTTGGAGTCGTTTGGTTGATTTTGCGCAGGACCTCGCCAAGCAGGACTTCGCTTCCGTGGTGATCATGTGTGACTCATCCCCGAAGGGGAAACTAGATGCCTGTCGCCTGCACATAGCCCTGCAGCGGTTGCTCGAATCAGCTTCCTGCAGACGGGTCGTGCTGTGGCTGCAGTATCCAAGGTTTGGTGCCCGGTTCTCTATGCCGGTGGTGCCGCCGCGCTGTCTCCGCTTCAGAGGCTGTCCAACCTCTTGCCGTCCACGGCGAGCAACGAGGTCAAGATGGAGGAAGCTCAGAAGTGCGCCGATGACTTCGCCTCCCAGGCCCTCGAGAAGGAGAAGGGCAACAAGCCGCCGAAGATGTTTCTTGGCTTATTGGACTTCTAGACAGCAGATTCGTGGCTACAGGACTGGCAGAGTTTTTTGCATTGCATCCGAGGCCCCGGGTGTTGTCGCGGATCAAGCAAAAACGCTTGTCGGCCCGCGAAGAACTGAAAGCCGTTCTTCACACCCTGTCCTTGGCTGGTCTGGAGCTTTGCTGTGAGAGACCGCTTCGGCCCCGGGACACTTCCCAGCAGGAGACGCGGGAATGGCAGGGCGGCCGGCCGTTCTTGTGCCACCCGACAAGTGGCGAAGCCGAGTGGGATGTACTTCAGG